GGGGGGGGGGGGGTTGTATAGAGAGAAGCATGAACTGGCACTTCAGACTTCCTTCTGGAAATGACACTTGCTCTCGTGTTTCATTTGCCAAAGCAAGTCACATGGCCACCCTTAACTTAAGGGGAAAAGAAAGGAGCTGGAATCTTCTCCAGCACCAGCTGCCTAATGACTGCCCAAGCACAGAGCTTTGGTGTTATAAACTAACTTATGCATGGGGCACCTGGGTGGCTCAGTTGGTTAAGTGACTTTAGCTCCGGTCACGATCTCACAGTTCATGAGTTTGAACCCTGCATCGGGCTCTGTGCTGACAGCTCAGAGCCTGGAGCCTGCTTCAGATTCTGTGCCTCCCTCTCTCTGCCCCTCCCCCACTTGCATTCTGTCTCTCTGAAAAATTAATAAACGTTAAGAAAAACAACCTAACTTATGCTTATTATTCAGGGATTCGTGATAGAATTTCAAATTGGCTTAGATTAGATTTCTGCCCTCAAGGCAGAATGGAGGTTTGAAATAGAAATTAAGCTCTGATATAAAGTGAAGTTAAATTTCTAGAACACTGAGTTTGTGCCCTGGGGTTTGTACCTATCACCTTAGTCTTGCCAAGTCCTGGAGAAAAGGCAGAGCAATGCTATCTGAGGCTGTGGGTCACGCAGGATCAAAAAGCCAGCTCAGAATGGTCACCACCACAAACCATATTCCACCCCTGGAGGACATTTCTCATCTTCTTCCTGAGGTTGGTTTTGCTGGCAGGATGCGAGGTTTGGTTGGGAGACAAAGAGATGGCCGTATCCTAACACAGGAGTTGGAATAGAGGAAGCAATCTGGAGTTTAGGGTTCTGAGAAAAAGAAGGAACTGGGAAGGCACCCAGAGCCTAAGAGTCACAGCTGCAAATGGAAGTTTCCAGAGCCAACATCTGCTCTTCTAGATTTTACTTAATAATAATAATAGTGGCTCTTCGAGAAGCCTCCCACTTGGTGCCTATGCTCTCCTTCTACCATCTCAGGATAACTTGTGAGGGCAGGTATCACCATCCCAGGTCAGAGGGGTTTCGCCGGCCTCACTCTCACTCAGTGCAGTGGTTGCAAAGTTGGGGCTGGACGCTGAAGGTCACCTGAAGGGTGGTGCTGCTCATCTAAATTCCTCTGCCTGGTCTCCCATCCTTTCCACGTGTCCTTCCCCCTGCCCCCCCCCCCCATTTCCTGCAGAGCCCCGCAGCCCCAGGTTGAGAGTGGCGAGGCACTCCCAGGGAAGGGGAGATGAACGGCCATCGTATTATCCAAGTGGGACTTGAACAGTTGCCGAACCGCTCACCCGTCCTTAAGCAGCGCGAGCGTCTTTTGGCTCAGGCTGTTTCTCCAGGCCTCCTCTGCCTCTCATTAATTTTGGTAGGGCCTGCTTGTCTTTCTTCTCTCTTGTTCGGTGCCCTTCTAATCTATTTTCCACACGGGACTTCTCCCTGACACGATTTGATTTCCAGGTTGCTAGCAGAGAGAGCTCTGGCTTTGATTTGTGTGCTCCTTCTCCGCGCCACATGTCTTTGCTGCACAGATGTGTCTTTGCTACCTTTTCACATTTCCTTTAAAGGCCCGCAGATGCTTGGCAGAATGCTGCAGAAATAATGCAGAATAAAAGACAGTTCTAGGGAGCCTGGTGTCTCAGACTTGATGTCGGAATGAAGGAAGATTTAGAACTCCTCCGGGTGCAGAGAAAGAAAAGTGAAGGGCAGATTTTCTGCTGCTTATGGAGTGGTTTTTGAACTTCTTCTTTTTATTGATTTCAGGCCCTTCTAAGGCAGGCATGTAATGACACAGTTCAGAGGTATGATGCGAGAGCGGGGCTGAGTTTCAGTGAAGGTCCCTCTGGCACCCGGCTGACTCCCCAGGCCCAGCTGCCTCCCCCCCCAATTCTCCACACACCTGCACCCCTGCAGAAGCCATAGGGGGCCAGTCCCCCGCAAACCAGAAATGTCTCAGACTTCCCTTGTTTCACACAGCTACAGATGCTGTCCAAAACGCCTCAGTTCTTACTATTTTGTATTTCATTTAAAATCCACCAGTCATTATCCTAATGCCTTTTGCAAACCTGAAACTTCTTTGTGAAAAACCCAGACAAGTTGGGTGAGAATTAATTTAGAAACTAAATAGGAGGTGAGGAGGAGTGCGTGGATGAAATTAAGTTCCTTTTATCCCCACTCAGCACAAATTCTGGAGTTTGCTCACGTGCCTTAAACCAGACGAGCTCAGTAACTTCCGGTGAGGGATATGGAAGCTTGGGATGGATTGCTGGAGACGGGTATGTTTCATGGCCTCCGGGCTAGA